TTCCTTCCTTCCTTCCTTCCTTCCTTCCTTCCTTCCTTCCTTCCTTCTTTCCTTCCTTCCTCTCTCTCTCTCTCTCTCATTCTTTCTTAACTAACTATATGACCAATTTGTGACTGACTGTCTTCCCAATTGCTCTAGCTACATTTCTTTTTCATGCCATTATGTCTTTTTGGAGCCAAGTTCACCACATTGGCGGTGATGAAGGGGCTCTCCATAGCTCTTTTGAATAATCCACATCACCCTGCCTTGAACTTTAAGCAGTTTTTATTTTTCCCACAGGCCCACTATTATCACATACCCAGTTAACTATCACCTAGAAGTCCTAATTCTGAGAATCTCCTTTGTAATGCATCTTCTCCTCTGAAAGGCTTCAGTAAACATGAGACAGTTGGGGCAGACTGGCTGTCGTATGGTTAGTCCTAACTGTGCTCATGGCCTACAGGCTTTGTGAGCACGGACTGTGAAGTCTGGGTCAGAGCCCTGTGAGCACAAGATTGTGTGTAGGTTCCCAAAACAGCTAGATGAAATGAAGACTGCCAGATGGTTGGCATCTGCTCTCCTATCTGCAATCTGCAACCTTGTACTCTTCCCATCCACTGAAGCCTCCCCTATAATCATCTGGCTCTTCTTCTATCTGATATGGTTAGACGATCCCTGTTCTTTTCCACTTCCTCTCAAGATCTGGGTATCTAATCATGGACTCCAATGTGCACCTTTAGTGTTAGTGAACAAAGACCTTTGCTGTATTTGAGCCAAGCTAGAGACAGAGTAGTGTGACTTGTCAGCTAAGTAGAAGTGTCAATGATAGGTTTTGGGAGAACTTTTTGCAGGATTCCCTTGGGAACCAGCTAGGTACTAAAAATCAATGGATGTATTTTCACTGTGAAAAATTGGTGAGAAAAAACTATTCAGCTAGTCACTGGGGCAAGAGAACTGTATTTCAGGAATCTGGAGATAGTGAGGGATTTCAGAGGTCCAGGGTAATTTGGGGAAAAGCTGTTGGTAAGAGTGGCTGGCAGTTGGGCAGAGTGCAGGGAATCTTAGGAAAGAAGTGGGAAACAGATCTGGAGAGGACAGGAACTCCATAAGGAGAGCAACAGAACCAAAAAAATCTGAGCAGAGGGGTCTTTCTTGAGACTGATACTCCAACCAAGGACTATGCATGGAGATAACCTAAGCCCCCTGCACAGATGTAGCCCATGGTGGTTCAGTATCCAAGTGGGCTCCATTGTAATAGGAACAGGGACTGTCTCTGACATGAACTGATTGGCCTGCTCTTTAATTACCTCCCCCTGATGGGGGGGGGGAGCAGCATTACCAGGCCACAGAAGAAGACAATGCAGCCACTCCTGATGAGACCTACTTGACTAGGATCAGAAGGAAGGAAAAGAAGACCTCCCCTTTCAGCGGACTTGGGGAGGGGTATGCATGCAGAGGGTGGAGGAAGAGAGGGATTGGGACGGGGAGGACGGAGGGAACCACAGGGGGAATACAAAGTGAATAAAGTATAATTAAAAAGAAAAAAAAGAGTGGCTGGCGGAAAAGATAGCTGCTGGCTCTGCATGGGGATACTGATGTCTTGGCTTATCATCATCTGGCAAAGTACTTGGCATTTGGAAAATTACCTGGTACTGCTAATGAGGATGATAGATCACTGAAAGGTAGTGTCCAAAAATCTCCCTTGAGTGTCACATGCACTTTTCTTAGGGCAAGAAGGGCTGTGTTCAGGATCATTCTGAATTACAGGGCTCCATACTAGGTCAAACATGCTCCTTCACAGAGGACAGCTGATCTTCCTTAAGCTGTTGTGAGGATCTTGTTGAGAATGCACACAAAGCTCAGGACTTGGCTGAAGCCAAACACATATAAAAACATTGCCTCATTGAAACTTCTCCTTAAATTCTGGCATATTTTTGTCTTATCTTAGAAAATCTCTTAAGTCTGAGAGACTGGTAAGATCCATGTACCAGGAGGTCCACAGTTGAGTTAAACAAGTACTTAAACTCCACATAGTCTTCCATCTCCTTCTCTCGAGACTGAGCAGGGAGGAGGTGGGGGATGGGTAAGGAGCTCGTGTTCTGCTCTGATTACAAGCCTTGACATGTCTTCCCCACAGCCAGGTCAGGGCACTCACGAAGAAACAGCCTTTGGCTCCTGTATGATAGCCCACCACTTCGTTGGCCATTGTACAAAGGTTCACAACTGGGTTTTGTCCTTAGTGGGGAACACCAGAACACAACCAGGCCACCTAGGTTAGCTTTACTGAAATCTGGCCATGTGGCAGGACAGACAGTTTTCATTTTCAAGTTCGTATTCATCTCAGAGGCACCTTTATTTCTTTCTGATATTTGTAACTGTCTGTGGTTTATTTGGGGTACCTCTTCCACACAATTTTACCACTTCCATTTTAGATCTTTCCTCTGGAAACAAGGCCAAAATGCAAATAGACTATTGTGGGAAGAACCTAGGCCTGAGGTTTTCAGCATGGGAAGGTTTCAGTTTTAAGTTGGTTATCTAATATGTGATGTGTGTACAGATGAGCCTGGAGTGGCTGTGAGTGGCTGCATGATCCAAAGGAGCTCTCTCTGCAGTTGTTTTATACATCTGTGAGCTGTGTCTTCATTATTTCCCCAGACTCCCTTCCAAAAGGAGAATATAATTTCCACAGAGACAGCAGAGGTGAGGAAAAGACACATCACTTCAGAAAACATCCTTAGGAACAGCTTTATTATATAATTTATTTCCAAGGACAAAAAGGCAAGCAAAAGTTGCAGACAAGCAGCTCCTATCACATAAACATAAGCTAAAGACCACATGTGGTGTCCAAAGCGCTCTCAAACCAAATGGTCCAAAGCAGACCATCTACAAAGCACAAAGATTGACAAAGATCCAAAGATCCTAACTTGTGTTTCCTTATTGGCTGTTTGAATTTAGTCTTTTCAAATGTTTTGTTTCAATTTTACAAATCACAGACCCCATTGCAATGTTGACTGATTTTTTTTGTTGGGATGGAGAAACAAAATTACAGCATTTTTGATTCTGTAGCATCACCATCCTCTTAACACCCATTGTATTGGTGATGCTCAGCACAGCGCCATTAAATTCAGACAGTTTTGAGGCTGAAAGAGAGCCTTGCGTTCTGAAAGATGAATGAGGGCATCTGTCATGGTTACATACCAAGGACTAGGTGACTTTTCTCTCCAGGATTGCTGTGTTAGGCTTTGGTGGTCTGCCTTGATAGCACACCACTCCTATAGTAGAAACAGTCTACCAGCTGCCAAGAAGAACACTTATTCACAGAGGTTTTAAAATACAGAGAACTATTTTCAGAGGCAGACCAAGTCCTGAAATACTAAGGAAGTCAGGAGACAAGAAGGTATATTATACAGAGATCCCCACAGGAGAAATCGCCAGAGTAGGGACTCGGCTTGGATTTTCTTCTAATGGCCATCTTTTTGACTCCAGATGGCATTTGAGCAGCTACTTTGCTTTGCCCTGGGACGGACACTTCTCTTGGATCTTCTGTGGGAACTCTTCCACACATTTTGTTTGGGCCAAATCCTGGCATGGCTCCACAAGCTGAGGCAGGCACTGGTCTTGGCTTGGAGGTAGGCATGGCTCTCGGCCTTGTTGTGGGCAGTTTCCTGAGCTTAACTCCTGGCACTGAGGAACAAATACCTCTTGAGCTTGCTGTGGACATTTATCTTGGCAGGGGTCCTGACATGAGGGGACACATACATCCTCAGCTTGTGCCTGGCACTTTTCTTGGCTCTTTTGAAGACATGGAGGTGGCACGCATGGTTGCTTACACTGTTGATCGCTGAAAGACATCTTGGATGATTTGAAGAGCCTGAGGACAAACAAAAGATTTGAGATGTTTCACACTCAAAGCACCAGGCTGGGAACCAGAAAGGTGTGGGCAAGGTGAAGGACTGAGAGAGGGATACAGGAAGAAGATAATTAGCTCTAAGACTGATTTTTATTCTTTTCTTTTATATCCTTATATCACCTCGTCTGACATTTGCTTCCAAGATGAAAGTATTCACCCGGGCTTTTATCTAGTCACAAGCTGAAAGCCCCAGTCCTACTACAGAATTTAACTAATATTTTTTATAAATCAGGCACAACACACTAAACAGAATACACGAGAATTAAAGTGTTTCAAGAAATGGCAAGCTGTCTAGGGTAGAAACAGAAGAGCGGTGGCCTCACAGAGATGGAGAGAGAGAGAGAGAGAGAGAGAGAGAGAGAGAGAGAGAGAGAGAG